AAGGATCTTCGATAGGTCTTTGACAATCCTCAAAGATCCCTAAAGAGCTTCTGGGGTTTTATACCAGGGTCAGTAATTCGAGTAATGAGTAATGAGTCCCTCTTTGTGATGTGTTATGTGCCTTGCTTTGAGCAAGCATTGTAAGCAACGAGTTACTGTAACAGCGATTGCATATGTTAGGCTGTTACGAATGATGAACATGTTCACGGATGGATACACGAGCACGATGACAGGAGTTTACGTTGCCTTGAACGCCGCCGGTAGACTTAAAAATTTAACAAGATGTTCTGCATACAGCTGCTGGTATAGAATGAATTTTCTAGGTGAAAAGAACACCAAGAATAAGTGAATAAAAGAATAACTTTGAACCATTTATTTTTATAATCATTTTCATGCTTTTAACTGAATCCTTCCTCCTAAAATTTAACTATTATGTGTTCTATGTCGCCTATCAAATGTAAGACTTGTAAATGTAGGCTAAATAACATATAAAGTATCGAATTCTTAGCTTTCAGTGGCAACGGTACGTTTTTCATGAAAGTTGGAATTTAGAACTAACAATTGAGTTTCAGGTGTTTGATTATGGACTTACCAAACTAATCATGATCATTTAGAACAATTACCGATTGGCAACGATGCAACTTCATCGAGGAAAGATAATCTCTTTCCTTGTCCAGCTAAGCTGACCATCTATAAGTCTTCTATCCTACCCGGCCTACCTTACTTAATATGGCATTTTTCCAATGCTTCTGACTGCAGGAAAATTGAACGCCTTAAGAACGCGCGTTCAGAGCAGTGTATAGAACGAAATCAGATACCTATGAGACACTGCTCAAAAGATCACGATTACCTACACTGTATAATCGTAGACTTCAAGACATTGCTATCCTTATGTATAAAGTTAAGCATAAGCTTGCCCCCACCAATGTTGCCGAAATTTTAGGTTAAATAGTTCAAGCTACAATCTGAGAAGGAAAGACTTTAATCTACCTCGATTCAATACTATTAACTATACGTTATTTCGGATCTGCGCTATGCAACAGGCTTAACAACCTGGTCAAACAATCACCTAGCCTCCAGTCGCTTAAAACCACCATACGTAAATTAGATATTGCGAGTATTTTAGATAATAATAGTGACTGCCGCGATCTTTGCACGTCGTGATATTTATCTTAGTCTTTTTAGATTTTAGAATTTATATTGTTAATTGATTAATAATCGTTGATTAGATTAGTGTCCCGAATTAACTTGTGTTTGTACAGCTAAATAAATTTGACACTTAAATAAAGTTTTTATTATTATCATTATTATTATCGAGGGAATGACATCAAACGTTATCTCGAAGTCAATCAATAAAGGGGTTTTCAGTCCAAATTTGGTTCACTGACAATTCGTTCCCAAAGAAAGGCTATTTCGGTCCAGGTTACGAGTAAGATTACTCTACGATTGAATAAAACCTTTCTACCAATCAAAACCAAAAGAGACCTTTCTCTAATATGAAAAAGGAGAAAAAGTTTCAGGAAATGGTAGATTTTAGTCTAGTGTGGAATCAAGCCCCCTTTACTCAATAACAACTAGTCATACATTTGTAAAACTTAAAGGCTTGCTGGTTTATTAAAATCACAGAA